TTCCTCTTTCTTGTCAAGAATTACATTTTATACCATAAATTCTGTGACCCCTTAAAAAGGTATCTAACTATTACCCTACCACCCCCATTCTTTCACAGTCTAGTTATTAATACAAAGTTATTAGTTTTTTGAAATAACTAGTTCAAATAATTACGGGATGTCCTGTTCATGTTATTTCTGTGTGCGATGCTATAATTTAAAAGTTATGTGGAAACACATTCTCTTAGCATCTATCTCATTCTCTTAGCATCTATCTCATTCTCTCAGCATCTATCTCATTATCTTAGCATCTATCTCAATCTCTTAGTATCTATCTCATTATCTTAGCATCTATCTCAATCTCTTAGCATCTATAACATGAGTATCAAAATCTATTTTTGTTTGTTTGTACATGCTGAAAAAAATGTTTAAACCAATTTTAAATAATTTTTAACTTAATATAGCACTATCTCATTTTATATATTTAGGTTCAACTAATTGAACAAGAAAGTACACATTTGAGCAGTAAGGTTTTATTTGATGGTATCATAAGTTATCATATGCTAGAAGTAAGTCAAGATAACTTGAACATCAAGGTACTAATTGTATTTACTTTAAAATAAATAATAAATATTAGAGTATCTTTTTTCATGAAAATATGTATATTTTATTTAGCTTTTAGTAGACAACTTAAACGGTCTTCCTTTATCCAGTTTTATTCAAAAAGGTGGTGTGCCTATTTCTTTTATTCGTGAGATTTCTGAGCAACTTATAGAAAAACTGGAATTTCTTCATAGTCTTTTGGTGATTCATAGGGACTTAAATGTGAGTTAATATAATTGTATGACTCCTAGTTTATATATTTATCTCCCTTATTTTTATTTTCTTTTAACAAAGTGTTTTAGCTGCAATACATTTATTTTGTTATTTAAATATATTCATTTAGTTGTGCAATACATTTATTAGCAGTAGTAACAAATTAATTATTAGTGGATATGGTGTGATGAAGCGGATATCAGATTATGTTAATATGTTTACTGAAGATATCAGTTGTGATAATGAAATAAAGATTAAGCAAGATGTTTTTTTTCATAGTTATCAAAATTTAATTAAACCAGGGAAAAAGGGAGATATTTTTTATATGGTTAGTCAAGTTTCTTAATTTTTTTTTTTTGGTTTTTAATTTTATTATTTTTTTATTGCCAATAAAGTTCTTTTTATTGCTTTTTATTGTCAATGAGATTTCTCATTTTATTGCCTTTTATTGTCCAACAAAAATTTTTTGGTTTTTAATTTGATATACATATTAAAGTTTATAATAAAAAATTAAATTATGATAAAATAAATATGAAAATAGTATTTTTAATTAATATCAAAGGGATTGCAAAGAATAGCCAGCTATTTTAAAATGCCAAACTGGTTATCATTTTAATGGTGTTTAATTTTTTTTTCATGATTTAATAAGAAACTAAAATGAATAATTCTTTAATATATAAGAAATTCGTTATCTCTAAAATGGTAAAATTTAATAGCTTGAATACCAAATCTGTAAATTTAATAACTTGAATACTAAGTCTGTAAATTTAATAATTTGAATACCAAATCTGTAAATTTAATAACTTGAATACCAAAAAAAAAAAAAAAAAAAAAAGCCATGCAGTCTAAATTAGTCATATATTAAATGTTTATTTTATAAAGTTAATAATTGAATAATGATATGAAAATAAACAAAAGCTATAAATTGAAATATTGTAATGCTACAATAAATGTTCTAACTAAATCAACTGGGTGATTTGAACCGTAAAGAGTTCTTCTGAAAGAATGACTTGCTAAAATTTGTAAAAACAAAAAAAAAATGCTAAAAATCAAATTTATTCATTTTTTGAGATTCAAATTATCATGTCAAATTATCAAAATTAGCTAATCAAAAATAATATAATAACAAACATATTTATAGCAATATTATATTTATTTTAATTCGTATCTTTGACAATAAAAAAACACGTGGACAATAAAATTAATAATTTTAGGAGCTTTTTACTTTCAAAATTATACAACTTTTAGTTTTTTCTTTTTTTTCTTTTTAGGGATTAATTCTTCTATCATTGTACACTGGGAAAGTTGATCATGGTTATCCAATAGTTATTCCTAACACTATCATGGAACCTTTCAACTCATTTCTTAAAAGGTTTTGTGTAACATATTGTTAAGATTTTTCTGATATCGGAATTAAGTTTCTAATCTCTAAATATTATTTAGTTGTCTTGCTGCTGATGAAAAAAAAAGACTAAGTTTACATGAACTAGCTCAGCACAAATTTGTTTGTGAAAAATTATCATCCGTTCAAGTATCAAGATTCATGCACGAGAATGTTTCTAAAGATATGTATGATAAATCAGATAAAGTTGATTTTAAAATACATTTGTGGAATGAGCAATTAGTATCGGGAAAGTCAAGGTTAAAAAGTGAATTTGAAGACATTCATTGGTTGGGCAAAGGAGGTTTTGGGAGTGTTCTTAAGGTTTGTTAAAATAGTTTTTGTTTGGGTAGATGAGTTTATCATAAAAAATAAAATAAGAATAATATCTTTTTAAATTAAATTTTTGTTAAATCTTGTAATTTTGTAAAATATTGTTTAAAGAATGCTAGAAAGAAAAGTAAATAGTCACTAAAAATAGACTTGACTTGACCTGGATCATTTATTTTTTTAATGATATAAATATTTTCCTAAGTTAATTGGAATACTATAATGTTCGAGGTATTGCTCTCGAATGGCTTTCTTTGTATCTTCTTAATAGATCACAATTTGTCTACATCAATGATGCCAAATCTTTGCCAATTATTTATAATTATTATTGTTGTTATTATTACTAATATATCTTATACTGCTGATTTAGGTGAGCAGTGTGACATCATGCTGAAATAGCCTGCTGCCGGGGGCTTCAGTACATGCATTGACTAACAAATAACCTGACTTGCAGCAAAGTGCTGCTACACGACTGAGGGTTTAGCACAGGGCAGCAATCTTTTTATTTATTATTCTTCGTTTTTGTCTTCTTCTTCTAAAAAAGTCATACCGATTAAGATAAGCTAATATGTTATAAGCTATATCTAATATAGCGTATAAATGAGCAAATGCTCATATATACACTGTATTAGATATAGATATAATAATTTTTATTGTCATTACTATATCTAATAGTCTCATTGTTATTATTACAATACTCCTTGTTAAATTTACTATATGATTACTTCTATTATTTACTATGCGTATATATTATATTTTACTATATGTATATATACATATATATACATTTTTACATTTTTTTAATTTGTATTTTGTTATATACTTTAGTAAATAGTGATTTTTTATATATATGCAGGCCAGAAAGGCGTGTGATTTCACGTCATAATATGACAACACAAATACTATTTCATTTTAAAAATTAGAGCACTGCTGTTAATATGTTTTGAAAATTTGTATGCATTTTAAAAATGCACAGAAAAAATTATCTTAACTATTAAGAAACATAAAAAAAAACTTTTGTAAAAAAAGAAAATAAATCTTTGTAAAAAAAATAAGAAAAATTAAAATAACTCAACTAAAAGTAAAAAATCAGATTTGAGAATGTAAGATTTAATTGGTATAGAGGGTTTAATGTTGTAATTTCTTTCATTTCTTTCCATATATTTTTTGTCTTGTAGTGGTTTTTGTTAAAGAAGGTTATGAAACTAGACTTTTTGGAAATTCTTAATAAGTTGCTAATTAAATTCCTGTAGAATTTAAACTTATTGAATAATTGACTTTTTGTGTTACGATTTTTAGATTTTATATACTTTTTGTGTATTTTTAATTGTAATCAACTTCAGAACTTCATTAGTGATCCAAGGTTTAAATTTGAGTTTAACTTGGTTATGGTGAGTTTTTGTACGGGACATGACAACTAAGAATTGTGCTAAATATTTTAAAAAGAAGATCATAGATTTATTGACATTATCACCAATTTTAATATAAGACTTACAGTCAATATTAGAAATATCTTAAATTCATTATCATTTAAATTTCTAAAGGATTGTTTAGTTGTTATGAATTTTTAAAAGGAGTACTAGGTAGTGCATCCAATACCGATAACATTTTTCAATACCGGTATTTCGGTACTGAATTATTTCAATACCGGTAATACCGGTATAATACCGGTATTATTTTTATTATTTTAATTAATCATAATATGAATAAAATCTCAAGTAAATAGTAAAACTTCTTTGATTCAAAATGCTATTTTATTTTATATCAAAATTACAAACTTTTTCATTCTTCACTTTTTTCTCCTTTGTAAAGTATGCCCGTAAGAAACATTGTGCATTCAGAGTATCATCTTTAAAAGATGATCATAATTTTGTGACAATGTTGCCACTTGCTGAAAATCCACGCTCCGATTCGACACTTGTTGGCTTTACAGTTTTCAAGTATTTGTATGAATTTTGAAAATATACACCGCGAGTTCCTCCATCTTCGAAAACCACCATCTCATTGCGTATGGTTTTTGATAAATTATTCGAAACGTTCATTCTTTCTTTATTGTTACATTTCTTATTATTTAAAATTGCCATGTCAAGCTTTTCTTTCAATGACAAGTTTGCAGTGTTGTCAACAGAATCGCTATCAGAAGATACGCTGGTGGAAGGATTATAAGCTCGCTGACTGAGCTGATCATTCAGTCGAGCAATAATATTTACAATGGCCGATTTGCTATGGTGTTCGAAAGATAGCGCTGGATCCAAATTTTGGTAACATTGATGGCCCTTGTGCAGATAGTGCAGTAAGCTGGAAAAAGTTGTACGTCGCTCATTGATTCGTCGCACTAAAGTAGCTTTTAACTTAACAGCTAAATCTGTGTCTCCAATGTTATTTATCATGAACATTAGTGTTGCATCGGCTGATAACAGTGTTGCATCATTTCAACACAATGCTTCCACAGCCAATTTTACTGGCGCAAGACAGGAAACAACATCTAAAATTGAATTGAACTCCTTATCAGTTATTTCAATTTTGGATTCAAGGTCAATCAGCGACTTGCGAATGCAGTTTTTCAATTTCGCAAAACGTTCGAGCATTGTGTGTAAGCTACTCCAGCGAGTTTTGGAGTCAAGTATCAACGAAAGGCCTTTACCAAATTCCTCTACTGTGTATTTTTGAAGTGTTTGATCATTTTTTGTCGGAGAACAGCGAAACAATTTTACAACGGTGCGCACCTTAGTGATTAACGGCTGCAGTTCATCAGTTATTTTAATAAGGTCATCTTTTTCACTCATTACAACTTGAAACCCGCCGGAAAAGTCTTCTTTGTTGTCATTGGTTTTGTTTGTATCATCGTCAGTGCTAATATCCTCATCACTTTCACTGATGTTGTTGTAATTGCAGATTACTTTCAAGCTTCTTTTTGCACAAGTTGACGGTTTTTTGTACAAAACTTCTTGAACACCCAGTTGTATGCCATGCACAATGCACAACTGTTGTTCACAATTACTCAAACGCCCCACCTTCTGCATTACGGAAGCTCCATCAGTAGTAATACACACAATGTCTTCATCATAGTTCAGCATAAACTGTGTCAATACTTTTTGAACTAAATCAATGCATTTTTCTGCAGGCAGAAAACCAACAACTCTAGCTAATCCAAGGCTCCAAAATTCGTCCTCGGTGTGAACGTTTACATTTAAATATTTGCGGTTTTTAATTGATGTCCATTCGTCAAATGTCAAACTGAGTCGCATCCCTTGTGATCGGAGGTTATTAAACTTAGATATTACAGTTTCTTTGATCGTGTCTGCGTATTTAACTACCATATTGCGAATTGTCGTCGCCGATTTTGGAACAACAAACCCACGAGCTTGTAGCGATGTTTTCAGCTCTGCTGATGTGACAAATACGCTAAAAGGTAGTCCATCAAGGGCAGTCAATCTAGAAAAAACTGCAGGCAAGGAATTGTCGTGTTGATTTTGTAAGAAGTCGGTGATCTGAGGTTTGGGTTTTTTGGCCGTTGGCAACGGTGCCAATGAAAACGAAACCGATGTCGATGCTGAATCTTGGACCAATTTTCTTTTCAGCAAGTCAATTTTATGGTTAGTTCTTAGATGTGTATGCAGTCCACTGGTACTGCCACCATTTGATTTTATCTCTTTGCTGCATTTCTTACACTTTGCAAGTTGATTTTCTTTATCACGTAGAAAATAAAACCACACAGAATTTTCGTCATTTCGTATGCCGGTACTGAACTCTTCGAATACCTTTTGGGACATTTCATATGTTTTTTGACTTTAAAGTAAATGAATTCATAAGAAATAAAATATTGATTATTAGTTCTTAATTGAAATCGCACAATTTTTTTTTTTAATAAAAATTATCTGAAGCTTCAATTTTCTTATAGTAATTTTCTATTTGCATTCAGTTTGCATTAGTTTTTTATATTTTTTATATTTCCTATTCACAAAGCGTTCCACGTGCGCATGGTTAAAATAGTAAACATTCCTGGAATGGAATGGAATAACCGCTGATTTCTATAATGGAAATTCCATTATAGAAATTAGCGGTTATTCTATAATGGAAGCGGTATTTCTATAATGGAAATTCCATTATAGAAATCAGCGGTTATTCCATTCCATTCCAGGAATGTTTACTATTTTAACCAAGCGCACGCGAATACACTTTGTGAATAGGAAATATAAAAAATATTAGAATTTCCATTATAGAAATCAGCGGTAACGACTTCAAACTTTTCATTCATTGCGTTTGTGCAAAACACAAGCACGTGCTCAGCGACTGACATAATGCTAATATATAATACAGGGTTGCCACTATAATTTTAAAAGTTTTGCCCTGAGTTTTCCCTGAGTATTTTCTGAGTAAAGAAGGTTCTTCCCTGAGTTTAGCTATCTAAACTCCCTGAGATATTCAAATTATATATCTGTACTTATTGGTTTGAAACTACTATACTAATTGAATTGAAAGTAACCAAACCATATAAATTTAACACCAAATGTACAATTTAAAAAAAAAATACTGATAATATATATTATGAATTTTGTCATAACTTAAGTTATTATTAATAAATTAATAAACCATTATTTTACAAAAATGGAAAATAATTTTCCCTGAATATTTCCTGAATATTAAAAAAAAAAAAAAAAAATCCCTGATTTTTCCTTGTTTTCCCTGGGAAACTATGCTATTTCCAGGTTTTTTTTTTGGAAGTTTAATACCGGTATTGGACAAACCCAATACCGGTATTTCGGTACTTGAAAAAGTCCGGTAATGCAGGTATTCCGGTATCGGTACTACCGGTATTGGATGCACTAGTACTAGGAATACAAACAAACTGCTATGTGATCTGAAATTAATATTGTTAGGTTGCCAGATATAAGATTAGGAATTTGAAAATTAAAAAAAATGTTATTAATAGTTGTTTTAGATTTACAGGTTGCAGTTTTAGATTTACAGGTTGCAGGTTTTAGATTTACAGC